ACGCAGGTGGACGGCAGAGGGAGGAGCAGTAGCCGCCGGGCGAGGAGGAGGTGAACGGAGCCACTGCCGGCGTTGGCGATCAGGCTCCACCTGCCATGAGATCATCGAAAATCCTGCCAGTTGAGAGCAAAATGCGATCTTTATGGCAGAAAACTCCACAAAATCGAATTTTTAGAAGAAAACCCGTCAGAAATCACGCAATTTATTAACCTTAAAGGAACAAAAAAAGGAAAAATCGAGGGCAGTAAACGAGAAAATATCGAGAAGAAACAGATGGCACCAATCCGATTGACGTTCATCAAATTAAATTTTAGTAAACTAATTTTTAAATACTTAAAAATCTTGAAAATTCAAAATAGGATGATTTGATAATTCAAAAATTATAATAGAATTTATTAGTGCGACAAGGTAATTTTTGTTTGTGTTACATATTTTCTAGTGCAAATTTTCAAGATTTTTTCTTTGGTTTTTTTCGAGGTGTCTCTTCTCATATTTGTCAATCCAATCTATTATCACTATACAAAGCCGATACATTATACCCTTTGGACCAATCTATTATCACGATACTATGTGTTATGGATCGATCTAATCCTCATGTATATAGTATGAATTATACTACCTGTGAATACATTTACAATATTTTTGATATTTTCATAAAAATAATATGTGTACTTAACAACATTATAACTGATATATATGTATATATATATATATATATATATATATATATATATATTAAAAATCCAATAGAAACTTAATTCTTATAAAAATAGAGATCATTATTATTTTAAAAAATAAATAACTAAACAAAAATATTTTTATATCAATTATATATTTTATCGGTCTCGAAACTTATGAGAGTAAATAATGCTGATGACATAACGAGAATATAAATTTTTGTTGCTTTGTCGGAAGAAAGATCGCTGTTGTTGGTGAAGGTTTATTAGATGGACAACGAACCGATGAGCAGCAAGTGGTTTTCATTGTGAGTCGTTGAATAGTGATGCCCACTTGACACTGGACAGTTGATGATAGGCGGATTCCCCAAAAGCCTTGGGATTTGAGTTCGAAAGTTTTTCACTAAGCATATGTGATTGTATAAAAAGATTATTTTATCTTTATAATTTTTAAAAAATTATAGTAATTTATCCCTAATTATGCCTTCGCCCGTGTTTGATCGTTCCATCTATCGACGCTCGCGTAAAGGCATAAGTGATTAGAAAAGGGAAAAGAGATGATTAGTATTACCTACTAGTTAATGCATAGAGATATAAACAGTCAAAAGGAGGGAGACGATCGACAAACGAAGACATGACCACGATAGAGAGCGATGAGCGATATGGATAAAATGATAAACTAAAAAAATACTATATATTTTTTAAAATTTAGATATTTGTGAGAAAAAAATAAAGTATTTTTTTTAAAAAAAAATCAACTCAATGATTCCACATCAAAGTGGAGGATGGAATAAACTTTTTGATACTTATCCTCAAGACCTATTATAGACTCCGTTAATTAAACTTGTCATACTCAAATGTTATTGAGTTTGATTTGAATATCACCCCCACAATAAACTTCAAGTCTTCTTGACCTCAATTGCCCATGACCAAATCTATATAGAACTCACGGAAATCACGAGGTATGGAGTTACCTGGTAATGTGCCTACCATATACGTATATACCCGTGGAAGCCTCACGTGATTTTCGTGATATTGTCGAGTATGCTTCTGATTTAGCTTTCATGCACTTCATTTCATCGAATCATTTCATCGTGATACTAATCTCAGGACAAAGGTTATCTGAAAGGAGATTAGCTGTGTAATATCTATAAACATGACAACCAGTCAAAATCGATGTAGACATTTTGGAAATTAGGGCCCTCTCCAATTTACATGAATCGTCCAAATCTCACTCACATTAGAATTAAGTGCTTCGCAGCTTCTATCATGTTGTTGCTTTGTGAGTGGAAGTTAGGTCCCTCTCCAACTTACATGGATCATCCATCCTCGCATCAGAATTAAGTGGGAGACCTTGACATTGACTTGCATCTTAGCGACACTAAAGTCAAAGTATGATTGACCTTGACTGCGTGGTAGCCACGGGATCAAATCTACAGGGAATGTGCGCAGATGTCATGGGGCTTTCCGGTGGTGATGTGCCTATACATAACCACAGAGACATCCTTTCCAACCTCACACCTTCATATTTCTTCTCTCTTGAGCGTTCGATCAATGGCTGCAGCTGGTAGCGGCAGTTTCCAGGACGGACGTATTGCCTCGAAGCGTCTCATGATGCTCGTGGCCTTACTTCTCGTCTCCTGCTGTCTCGGCTATGGCTTCGGCGATGAGGATCATGTCGAGATGGAGGGAATCGGCAGCAATTGCATGGAAAGCGAGAGGAGAGCTCTCCTCGCCATCAAATCTGATATGTACGACCCCGGCGACCGGTTCTCTTCTTGGACCGGCAAAGACTGCTGTGGGTGGAGAGGCGTGGCCTGCGACAACACCACCGGCCATGTCACCCAGCTTGACCTCCACTACCCCTACCCAAATGATACGGAGGTTATCTATGACTCTGTCGAGTTTGAAATCGTAGGAGCGAGCAAGGTAAATCCATCTTTGCAAGAACTGAAGTACTTGAAGTATTTGGATTTGAGCATGAATAACTTCTCCCACGCCCCTGTGCCTAAAATGATCGCTTCACTAGTCCACTTGGAATATCTCAACCTATCTAATGCCATTTTCGATGGTCTGATTCCTCCTCAGCTGGGGAACCTCTCAAACCTACACTATCTCGACCTTCAGGCATGGAATTATGATCTTCTACACGTTGACAATCTCGATTGGCTCTCCCGTATTCCTTCTCTAAAATATCTTGATTTGAGTTATGTCGACCTCTCCAAGGCGACCAATTGGTTTTATGTAATTAATTCCATTCCCACACTTGAAGTGTTGCGTTTGAGCCATGCAGACCTGCCATATGTTCCATCTCCTTTGCCCCCTTTTAATCTAACAGCCATTGCTACGTTGGATCTATCTGGGAATTCCAACATCACGTCTGCCATGTTAAGATGGCTTTCTAACGCCACCAGCCTCGAGAACCTCCTTCTTTCTGGCTGTCGGAGTCTCACTATCGAGTCGGTACAAGTTGCTCTCGGAGCTCTCCTTAATCTGAAGGAATTGGATTTATCAGACAACTCCCTTAAAGGAGAAATTCTTGAAATTCTGAACAATGTCAGTAGCAGCAGTGGCCTGAAGCACTTGGATTTGAGATGGAATCAATTATCTGGAGATATTCCTCCAGGGAGCCTTAGAGACCTGGAGTACCTAGACTTATCATGGAATTTTAATGTCGACGTGCATATCTTAGCTTCTCTGGGGAATCTCACAAACTTGCGACATTTAGACTTGGGGGGCAATTCAATCAGTGGAGAAATTCCACCAATCGTGGGAGATTCTGTCCGATTGGAGTACCTAGATTTGTCCTCTAATGGCATCATTGGAAAAATACCACAGGCCATCGGCAACCTCACTAATTTGGTATACTTAGATTTATCACGGAACAATATTATCGGATGCCTTCCAAAGACTTTGCGTACTCTCATCCATATGGAGGAATTAAATTTGTTTAACAATAGTATCTCTGGACAAATACCAGAAACCATTGGGGATCTTCAAAATCTACGGATATTAATTTTAAGCAATAACCATATTTCTGGGCAGATACCAAAGAAGATCGGTAAACTCCATCGCTTGCAATACTTGGACATGTCATATAACAACTTATCAGGTCAGATACCAACGACATTGGGTGATTTATGCAATTTGACCCTGTTAGATTTGTCTCGCAATAACATTGATGGAGAGCTTATAAATCTATTCTATGGTTTGTCTGCTTGTTCACAAGGAGCATCTATATCATTCTTAGTCCTGAAGGGTAACAATTTGAACGGGATTATTCCTTTAAGAATGGGCCAATTATCTCGGTTACATGAGGTAGACCTCTCCTCAAATTCGCTCACAGGCAACATCACCGAAGCACACTTTTTAAATCTTACGAGCTTATTAGGATTGATAATCGCTTCCAACTACTTGAATGTGATGCTACCAAATGATTGGCTCCCTCCTTTTAGTGCCAAGACTATAGATTTGAGCTTTTGTCATATAGGAGCAAAATTTCCTGATTGGATTCAGACTCAACATCAATTGCAAAGTCTTTATCTATTGGGAGTTGGAGTCTCAGGCAACCTCCCTATTTGGTTTTCAAATTTCTCAAAAAATTTGAAAATTCTTAACTTGAACTCCAACTATTTGACTGGTCAATTACCTTCTGCTCCCCGATTCATGTTGGATCTTTCCAACAACTCATTTGTCGGACCTATTCCATTGAGCTTCAAAGAAGCTAAAACACTATTTTTATTATCTTTGTCTCATAATCATATCAATGGTGATTTTCCTCCCTTCTTTTGTAATAACTCATTTGGATTCTCATTTCCAACCTATCTACGATCTTTGCATTTAAATAATAACAACCTATCCGGAATGATTCCTTCATTTTTTAAATACTGTAACCAATTAATTATCCTTGATTTAGGTGAAAATAAATTATTTGGTAAAATTCCGAAATGGATAGGAAGAAACCTCTCGTGAAGGTTCTTCGTCTGAGGTCAAACTTATTATATGGTGTTATCCCTGAGAACATAGTGAATCTCACTTCTCTTCATGTTTTGGATCTTTCTTCCAACAATTTATTTGGTAGCCTACCATCATCTCTAGGAAATTTCATTGTCATGGTTGAGGTACAAAATGACACGAGGTCATTGATTGACGATTACTCTTTTTATACCGAGAGAAGATTAATCATATCAAATGGATTAATGGCCGAAGAATACTTTTATTATATCGAGAGCAGATTATTCACAGGATTAATAGTTGAAGAATACTATTATTATAGCGAGAGCATCTTGCTAACTACAAAAGGGGAAATTGCTGATTACACAACCATTCTCTCGCTCGTGACATTCATAGACTTGTCAAATAATCAGCTCTCTGGTGAAATCCCAAAAGACCTGACAAAGCTTCTCGGACTGCGCTTCCTAAACTTATCCAAGAATCATTTGACGGGAAGGATTCCAGAAAAGATGGGTGACATGACACTATTGGAATCGCTTGACTTATCAGTGAACAGTCTCACAGGGGAGATACCTTCGAGCTTTTCTTCTATGAATTTTCTGGCTAGTTTGAATCTGTCTTATAACAACTTATCAGGAAAAATACCAACGAGTGGTCAATTGTCGACCTTTGACTCATGGACATATGTGGGTAACAAAGACCTTTGCGGTACGCCACTGCCAGCTTGCCCTGTTTATCGAACTCCACCTGATGTCAGAGTTAAAGATGATGAACAGCTTGAAAGGTTATTGGAGTACACCAGTATTGTGGTTGGATTTGTGGTTGGCTTTTGGCTGTTTATCGGCACGCTCGTCATGAAGCAGGCCATCAGATTCGCTTTCTTTCGATGGATCGACAAGGCCAGCGATTGCATCTATGTTCAGTTTGCAGTAAAGCTTGCGAGGCTCAAATCCAAATGGCAAACGATGACATGAACTGTGGGTAAGCTTTCGAGTGTGTTACCTCTTCTATTAGACCTTAATGTCATGTTGTCCTTCGTAGTTAATCGCATCAAAATCTTGTGTTAGCATGTAATGATGTTATCATATTATGCTG